TCTCCAAAGTTGCTAATTTTGTTTATGTATGATTTTCTTCCAGGAGACTAATTACATTTATCAATTTACCATATATTATCTCCGAAGTTGCTAGTTTTGTTTTCAATGTATGACTTGTTTTCCAAGAGACTAATTACATTTATCAATTTACCATATATTATTTTCGAAGCTGCTAGTTTTGTTTTTAGATGTATGACTTTTTTCCAAGAGACTAATTACATTTATCAATTTACCATATATTATCTCCGGAGTTGCTAGTTTTTCTTTAGATGTATGAATTTTTTTCCAAGAGACTAATTACATTTATCAATTTACCATATATTATTTCTGAAGTTGCTAGTTTTGTTTTTGATGTACAAATGTAATTAGTCTCTTGGAAAAAAAGTCATCAATTTACCATATATTATTTCGAAGCTGCTAGTTTTTCTTTGATGTATAACTTTTTTTTCCAAGTGATTGAATGTTGTCTCATCTTTTCTTGCCAAATTGTTCACCAGTTACATGAGGAATATGCTTCTGTTTTTCACCACTAGTTGCACTATGATGATCACAAATCGAACATCAAAAGTTTTAGCTGCAGCTGAGTGACTCATATAACACCAGTTTTGAATTTTTTATTTTTTGTCAAAGTACAAACTTTTAGCTTATAGTTCCATCTCTTGACCAACATGAGATCTAATTACAGCTGTGGCTATTAAGAATTTCCTCTTGTTTTTAGCAAATTTTCTTGGGTTGAGTCAAACTTATGCATTTCAAAAGCTTAATTATAGGTTTATATGGGTGTACTTAGTAAAACAAATTCTGTTTGGTTTTTAATTTATTTTCTTCACCAAAACATGGATTTTAGTGAAGCAAAGATGACAGAGAGCCCTTATCCTCTGATTCATTATTTCCACTGTAGCATGCAGCTGACTAGTTTCACCGAATTCACAGCTCATCTGTACTGCTTGGAAGAGTGAAACAAATATCAAATTAGGCTTCATATAGTGATAGTTTGGAAAAGCAAAGCAACTAATGTAGTAGGCCTCATGTAATAGTGGAATAGTTTTTTGGATTTAATGTATGGTCAATTACTCGGTGCTAATAACCTAAAATGGTTTAGGCATTAAAGTATTTTAGGTCATTAGGGGCGAGTAAAGGACTATACATCAAAACCAAAACAAATCCTACTTACATGAAGCTTATGGAAAGATGTATTGTAGTTTGTTAAAACTGCTTTAGTCTTTTCTATCACAGTGTAAACATTTGGAGCTAGGACATAGTTTCACAAAAAAACAAAACTAGAAATGAAATGCACTGTCATTAGGAACACCAGGAACTTTTGAAATGTTATTACATATATGTTACCTCTGTTATCACTCAAATCATGCAGTCCCAAAATGTAAATCATACATTTAGAAGCCAGATAGAATGCTTCAAAGGGTAAGAAATATATTTCTTGTTTTGTAGGGAGGAGCTCAACAAATTTCGACCCTGATTGTTAAGGAGATTGGAGAAAATAAAGTTCGTATTTTAGAACCTGTTACAAAAGTTTATCAGGTATGATGATTTTAATCTTTGATAAGTTGTTTAGTCAGAGTATTCATAATGAATCTAAGTTTCAAATGGACAGCAACTGCCTGTTGTCGTCTACATTTGTAGGTTTCTACAACAGGTAGTTGCTGTCCTGTTGTCCTCCACATTTGTAACATGGATTCATTATGATTATTTTAGGTATGAATCTAGTATTGAAATAAGATATTTGTAATAGTTGGCTGAGGCATCAAGAATAGCTCAAATTGCACTTTTTACAAATAGTGTCTTTGTATTATTTTATTATCAAAGTTAAAGTTTATTTTTATCACCACCAGATGGAGCAGGAGGGCTATGTAGAAGTTATTACTCAACAAGGAATAAAATACAGTTGTAATCAAGTGATAATGGCAATTCCTCCTCATTTAAATGGTGAGTTTTTATCAAGTTATAATAGCAGTTCTTCATTTGTATGGGGAGTTTATTTGATTTTTTAAAGCATTTGTAAATATTTTAACTGATGAAATAAAGTTATAAGTTAGGTTTCCTAAACAAATAAAACAGATAATGATATTTTACTATTTATCAGTTTAAAATATAACTTATTTTCCTTATTAATGTTTTTTTATTATAGTTTCAAGAATTATACGTACAACAGTTGGAATATTTTTCTTACAGTAAACATCGAGTTCAAACCGCCTCTTCCCTTGACAAAGATGGAACTTTTTAAAAACATGCCTATAGGAAATCTAGTCAAGTACATTATCACATATCCAAAGGTTGGAATTGTAATTTTAGAACATAATGTATTTGTTTTAGGTGTAGTCTGATTTAGTTACAAATTTACAAAACATTATGAGCTTCTCACTAAAACATTCCTAATTTTTTTACAATAGCCCCTCTTAGATACAATCGACCTATTTGCCATGATAAAAAAAGTCGTATCTAACAGGAAGTTGTTATTCAAAGGATTAATAATCAGATAATGAACGACTGTGTTCTTGAGTATAATGGTTAATATACTGTATTGGTAGACAGATGATGTAGCAAATTGATACACTGTATAATAGTTGGTTAATATACTCTATAGGTAGTCAGATGATGTAGCAAATTGATACACTGTATAATAGTTGGTTTGTATACT